CCAACAGTGGGAAAATTCCAATGTTACAGCGCAAAGTGGGATTGAGAAAAAACACAAGGGAATAATATCAAATCCGAATCAAAATAATTAATAATCCCAGGGGGAAATTATTTTTCGTACAGACTCCAGGACATACGTGTGAAGCACCACTTGCAGCTAATGCAGGCTTCAGATGTCTGTTTCCTTCTCTCGTTCGTTCCGACAGTTCTAGTTTGCAAATATAAATTTAGGGTGCAATACTGAACAAAGGCATCTATCCAACAGGCCCTGACTCAGCCTGCTGGATATAGATTGGAGTAGGGACTGAACAACAAGAAGGCGTGGACGCAGCAACACATGCCTGTTGTGGAGGTGCTTTGTCTGGTTGTGTTTAACGCAGGAAGTAAATGCTCACAAACTTCAATCTGACAGACACTGTTTTGAAAACATTTGAGGAGAGAATAGGGTTAACACAGTAACAGAACGACGGGGGAGCAGTGACACACTGGGCTAGGAGCATTGATTGCCCTTAAGTATCGCAAAGGAAGGGCAGCAAAACTGAAAACTAAAACAAGGATATGTTTTAGAAAAATGACTTGGTAGCCATTCAATCGATTTGTCAAATAGGTTAATTAAATTAGTGTCAATGACCTTGGTGTCATTCCTTGTGCACGTGTGGAAAGTTCAACTAGTGTATGGTAGTTGAGGAAAGGTCGTAGGTCCCTAGAAACATTCACCGGCGGCCATTAATGTCAAACTGGCGAACCAATGCTTGCCCAGCACATCTGGCCTTGGACGTTCTTGAGACAACAGTTTCAGACGACTGTCAGGTCCGCACGATGTTAACATGTACAGCAAAGAAACGGTTGCTCAGTGAAATCAGGTTACACTGGTATCGCACTGCACATTTATATCCACTGCACAAGCTTCCCTCTCTACTCAACGCATTTAAAATCCATCATTTTGTGCCTACTTGTTTTTTTTAAACACGTTAAAAGTTCTTTTTCTTGTGTTTTTCTGCAGATTTGTGACTCCTTACCTGGAGCTGCTACATCAGTGAGGGTCTCCTGTTTTGAATCTGAAGAATCGTGAAGATAAGGGAGAGCCAATGGAGAGCAGTTACTCCCCTGAAGTCCGGAGGCTGAAATGGGGACTTTTGTTTACAGTGAAGTCATCTGCCAAATTCTGCTAGAGAATGTTTGTCTTGCCTTCAATACTATTACGATGAAGCAAGAAACATTAGGTCTGCTGCTCGGCGGGAAGCTTGAGGAAACTGAATGCACTGGTTGCGGATGGGAGGGATGAAGGGAAGGTCTGGAGAAAATTCCCCGTCCAGAGAACATGAGTTAGTGGACACTTGTGCCAGGCGGTGAGTGACTGACTCTAAACCCGAAGCCACAAGCATTAGTTTAAATAATGTGTGTGTTCACAGGTGAACGTCCATAGTTGTCTGGCACTATGGTTATATTTTAATTGAAAACACTGTGGACATCCTCAATTTGTTTCGTGTGAGTTTCTGTTTATTTTGACAGTTAGGTTTGTTCACATGCTTAACCTGTCCCTTGTGTTGGTGTATTTCCTGTTGTTTGCTGCGATCTAAGTAAACAGGCTGCCACGTTTGATCAGTGAGGTTTGACAGCCTTTTATGTGATACAGAAACAGTGTCAGCGCCCTTTTTCTGTTGCTGGGGCCAGTTTCTCCAGACATCTGTTGGTTTAAAAATTCAGGCCCATTGGAGTTCATGGTTAGTTATTGCAGTGGGTCATATTGGTAAAATCCATTGCCATGGGATATGTAATCTTTATTACGATATATTATCCAATAGTAATCAGTTCATTGAGGCCATTTGGGCCCTAAGCCAGTGAATCAGATTTACTTGAAAAAAATTCTATATAAAGTAGCCATGTTATAGGGAGCACAACAAACACTCCAGTCTGTGCCATCACTGCATCAAATCCAGACTCAGTGACTCAATCACCTGACCATATAGTCGCCACACTTGTTAGCTGCTGTCTAAATAAAGATTTTGGATTGGGTCTGTTGCATAGATTGTCAGAAATTCTCTCTTTCAGTTGGTAATCAACATGTTGGATTTGTGCCATTACTCTTACTTGTCATGCTGCATTTATGTTCTAGTGGGAGTCCAACATCAGAAATTTGATTGTAAAAAGATCTGCCTTCATGTTATTTGTCAGAAAATCCAAGGACCACAGGCTCCGCTGCTTTTCATTTTGTCGTTTTCACTCGTTCAGGTTTGGTGGATGATACAGAAGATGGACTCCCACAGGCTTTCAAGACAGGAAAAATCCGGTCTTAAATGGTTTCACATATTTTCTTTCAATAATGCTAAGAGCTTAGTTTTAATGTGTGAGTCTTTACTTTCACCGAACAGCGGAGAAAAGACATTATTCATGCTGTGATTTAGGGACTAATCCTGGTGCTGCTCCACAGTCAATAATGTAACGACAGCTTGGAGACTGACTGCGCAAGATTTCACTGAGAACATTTGTTGTTTGACAGAAGGAAGCCCCAAAAACTGTGACACTCGCGTGAATGCCACCATACTTTGAGCTAAATGCTAATGTCAGCATGCAAACATCTCCGAAAAGGCAATACTAACATGATTACGTTTAGATTAGTTTAATGAAACAAGTTAAATTCTGCAAGTAAAGTGAAATGTTACTGTGTCAGCTTCTTTACTAAAACTACTGAATAAAGTAGATGACTGCATATCAATCATTTCTTTCGGAAACAGTGTCATGTCAACCCCATAGCAGATGGGAAGCTCTTGGTCTGGTTACTTAAAGGAAATTATCAGACTGAATACTACTCATAGTGACAATTATTGTACAGTAATGGCATTTTAACACTCCTACATGTAAGTGAATAGCAGTTGCTTTCCATTTCTGTATTTAAAACAATTTGAAACAGTCTAGTGAATTAGATTGTTTCATTTTCTGTCAAAAAGTAAATTTATAGTGAGAAATAACCAGTATGATTCAAATACAGATAGTGAAATGGTTGCTTCTTGATGTTTTGGTCATCTCCCATAGTTGAATAATGGATTCATAACCTTTAACTTCAGCCGACTCTTAAAGGAATAGTTCAACACTTTGGGAGATATACTATTCACTTTTATTTAGTCACTGCGCGCTGCGAAGAAGTAGCCGCTGTAAAAGTGTTGTTTTGGACAGAAGCAGGCTACAGTTGTAGTCGTTTCCCCGGTTTCCAGTCTTTATGCTAAGCTAAGCTAACTGGCTGGGCTTCTAGCTATAGCTTCAGACACGAGTGGTATTGATCTCCTCATGGAACTCTTGGCAAGAAAGTGAGTAAGTGCATTTCCGAAAATCTCAACCAAAAATATATTATTTCTACTATTAAATATAATAGTTATATTGTGCATATAAGCTATAGTGAAGCCAAAATTGTTGTCACACATATGAAAGATGCACAGACTTAACTGTGAGTATAGAAAGTGTGGCAGACTTCTTGCAGATGGAGTGAAATATAATGTATTGGAAAACATCTATGCTAGATCTTACAGATCCCCTCCAGTCATGTATTAATACATACAAATAGTCTGCTTGAAATAATACCTAAAGTGTCACTTTCACATTAAAATCCATAAAAATCATCTATTCCTTCTGCCTCATTAAAAAAAAGTTTTCTGTTGGACAAAAGATGTCTCCTACTTCACTCTAAAGTCCATTCTCAGTGTTTGTGCACTGGTTGCTTTAGGTTTCTACATCACACTTTGTATATATAAAAATATCTCACATCTGCTCATAGGCCTCTCCCTTAAATCTGATTTTCAATGTGTTGGAAAACATCTGATTGTCGAAGGATGCAAACAATTAAACACACAGTTCATATATAATTAAAATATAATTTATTTAAAACATAATTTATTCATTAATAAAATAGTAAATAAACATAAACAACATGCAAATTCTCACTGCGATAATATCCTGATGTTCTCTTATGTAAACGAGGACTTAACAAAAAGTTCACACACATAATGATCAGACATTCAAATGGACGTATTTATCCTTCACAAAACCCATGAGTCACAAGCAACCATAATCTCATGATTCAAAGACAGAGGGGTGCCTGGGTTAAGACTAGCTGTCAGAAGAGGAAGGCAGCTCCCAGTCTCGGGGGACGCAGTGCTAAGTCTTCAGCCGCTCCCTTCTTGATGGTCGGTCCAAACATTTCAGAGTGTCGGATGTTCCCGGCCGCATCCAGGGATTCGTGGCGACAGTTTCTACAGAGCTTTGATGGTTAAGATTGTGAAGAGAGAATCGGGGAGGGGAGGAGTCTTCGTCAGACAGATCCTCAGGTCCTGAAGAAGAGGAACAGGGAGACAGAGTGAAACGTTAAGAGAAACAAAGCAAAAAGAAATACTTTAGCAGAAAAACTGCAATGTTATTCTTTATCCAACTAAAAAGAGTTTCCATGATTATTTGAATACTGACTGAATTTAATGACCCCTGGGCTTTGGAAACCCATTAAAGCCCTAATGTTACAATTTTAACTCCGACATCTATGAAAAACGCTCTACTTTAATTCCTGAAAATCTGCATTCATCCAACACAACTGAAGTATTTACATAAAATCTATCAACCAGCAGAATTGAGTTGTAACTAAGGTGGGTGAAGTTGTACCGGCTGTGTTGCCACGACGACTGAGAGCCATCAGACGACCTGTCCTGTACCGGCTCCTCTCCTCACCGCTGGGCTCTTCTTCCTGCTGCAGCCTGTCACCTGTGTAGTCATCCCGTTGGCCAAAGGGCTGGCTGGAAGCGGCTCGATCCTGAGGACATGAAAACTATTAAAGTTGTCGCTTACTTACTGAATTGTGGCTGTGGCTTGTGTTGTTTAAGCTACATCACAATAGTGAAACCTGTAGTGTGTAAAGCAGAGTACCTGGGGGCGCTGTGACTGTTTGGCCAGCCTCCTCCTCTCCCTGGCTGAGAGCTGAGGGGTTTTCTCGATCTCTGGGGTCCGCGGCACTGGAAAGGCATCACCTAGGGGGTCTTAACACACAAAACCAAAAGCAAAAATTAGGCAAAGCATCTCCGTTACACAAACTTAGAGAACAGTGTCGCGGTAACTCCAAGACCTGCATGTTGGGAGATCGCAAACTCTAAATCACTGTCAAAATGTCTGCACTGCGACGATGCAGGATGAAATGTTGCACAAATGACAGTAAATATGCCTTTATTACATTATCTGCATCATGGTGGTCTTACCGATAAAAGCGCTCTCCGACTCCAGCAAAGAACCTCTTGCAGACCCCCCCATCACACTCCTCTGCAACAAGAACACAATTCATTTCACAATTGCACTCCAATGCTTGATTAAAACCCAACTGTTATTTCTATTCAACTCACCAGATAATCATTTTGCTGTGGCGGGGACAGGTCGAAATAATCTGAAACACAAGAATGACAAGTTAATTTCTTTTTCACAACACCAGAAATATCAAAAGCCACAGACCTCATTTACAACTGGCATCGACATGTGATCTGCAGCTGGATATCTGGATCGGACTGGCCAAACCACATCTGGAGGTGATCTGATTCACACTGTATTTAGATATAAGCCATGTTTAAATGCCATTCATACAGTCTACCACCCAGCAAGTTAAACTATCTCCTAACTCTGCCTCTTCCACCTAGCTAAAGCAAATGATTGATGCCATTCCACGGCATTGCGTCTCATGTTGTGTGACTCCCCATGTTTTGTTGAGATGCTCACCAGCCGTGCCAACTAATTTGCATATGGAGATCCAATCACAATGCGGGCAGAATCAAGATAACGAGAAGGCTTATTAATAGCAGGTGTGAATACAAAGGCCCATGGATGGAATTTCATTAGTCAGATACAGATCACATGCCAGTATCAGGTGTAAATAGGGCCATGTACAAGACAAATTAATCCTCAACATCCACATCAGAAACTTTGTCGGCTCAACTGTGTTGATACAACATAATATAAGTGAACAAAAACTGTTCAAAGACAAATCTTTAACTTAAACTACTGCAAATGGATAAACAGGGCTTCATGCACGGAGCCCTCACCATCCTGGACTGTAGACCTCTGGCTGCTGAACTGCTGATATGGATCCCTGTAGTCCCACCTCCTCTTGCTGCTGCTTGCCTCTTCCGGCTTCTGGACGTCACTGAAGCCCAGCCTGGACTCACCATCTGACTCACGAACACACGTACGAACCTGTCACAGCTAACAACGCTCCTGTAGTGTACAGTTAAGACCGTAAGACTTGTGCATTACCTGTGTACTTGAGCTGAAGGGAGTCGTGGATTCGCAGCAGGTTTCTGGGCTCCATGTTTCTGGAGTTTGGCCTTCGTACGGGAGCCTGGAGCCGCAGCCTGGCCATATCAAACACGTCTACCGGGGGACGCTCCCTATGTCTGGGCAAATAAAAGACAAAAACACGCACAGATGTTGGCAGTTGCTCATACGGCAACAATATCTTTACACTCAAAGTCTGAGAGGACAAATCATGGTTGACCAGGATCTTAGATCTAACACTATTAATTAGGGCAGAAATGTATGGAGATAAACGTATGGAGATAAATCAGTGTTTCCCGACCTTTTCTGGCAGATGTATCCTTCACAGCTATGTCAGATTAACTATCGTAACCCTTCATTGACATTATTTATTTCTACCATTTAAATATTCATTCAAATAAATGCTTCTCTTTATGTGATAGATATTAAAAGACTGCAGTGAGAGTGATGCATCCGTCTGTCTCTGACCTGTCACTCAGAGGAGAGTCTAACTCTTCCCAGTCGCCCTGCTGCAGACGACCCTCCAGGCGTTTCTGTTCACTGCGAAGCTGCCGACGCAACGCTGACAGCTCACTGAACACATCATGCTGGTCACCTGAAAACACACAAACCCCTCAGAATTGGTATTGGTAGTGAAAACACTATCAGATGTAGACTGAGCTTCAACTATCAGATAATATCAGAGATGTGAACCATTAAGGTGCAGGAACTGTGGAACAAGTTGGCCTGCCTGTTGAAACATCTAAACACTGTCCACAGGGCAGACTGAGCCAAACACTAAGTGCAGGTGTGGCAAGCAAATGGAAAGTCCATTTTAACTGCTTTACTCAAATGCCACTTGCTTAGCTTGTAGAGTACCTGCTGCAGCTCGGAGCTGATTCCTACGAGCAGGCACAGGAGGGGACTGGAGACCAGACAAAGAGCGCTCCTGAAAGACAGATAGAAAAGTGAAAAGGGATGAAAACAGAGATTAGGGGGGGCAGGGAAGATTATATTGCAATCTTTTATTTTTCCAGAGAAGAAGTTGATGATAAATTATCCTCTAGAATACAAAGACGGAAAGTTTTTGTCTAGTCTTTGTGTGCGACTCACAGACAGGGGGGCAGTCGAATGCTGGCTGTCCACTGTGGGGGGCCTGGGGCTGTACTGGTGTAGCCCATGTTTCTTCTGCAGAGCGGGGATTGGAGGCGACGGTTCCCTGCGGACCTAAGAACACACAGCCATCCATTCACTACAAAAGCCTCAAAAACTACGATTAAGTCAAACTTGATGGTTGTCGCCCACTGTGTGCATTTTGGTGTAACTGAAGACTGCCAGAGAGGAAATAAGTGGATAAAGACGATAACAAGAGACTGCATGTTTTATTTCAACAAGTTACTGGTAACTTTTCACTTTAACCCCCTTATTTAGCATTTATACACTATAGTTTATAACACACTAGTGTAGTTGTCAGCAGATATAAGGGCATTATAAGACATATTTTGTATTATAAAATGCCTCCACTTGAAGACAACCACAGGAGGTGTTATAGTTGTTGACATCTGCTTACAAAAAACTATAGTGTTTTATTATGCATTTATCAAATATTTAAACACTGCTCAGAAATGTTAAATAAGGGTCCAAATAGAGGTATAATAAGAAAAATATTCAACTCTTGTCAGAACCCTGCTGCCACTGGCTGATCCTGCATCATAAACTAGTGGAAAACCTAATTTCCCGTTTAAACGATCAATAAATAATGTCAAAGCAGAAGGAATATTACTACTTCCTACTTGACACACCACTGTTCTGTTGCTGATCGACTGTAGCCAACTGCTGCCTGTAGTTTTTGCAGCATATCCAGCACTGTTGGCGCAAGCTGGTCCTTCATGGCAGCTGTTACTACAGCATGTTGAAGCTATGATGGAGGCAGAAAGAGAGCTCTGTGGCTGGTCAGCTTTACCAATCAGCCATTTAAGAGTGTTGTTCCCTACGTCTTTTCCTCTTCCACAAGCAACATAAAACTATATATGTATTTAATTATAAGATAAAGGGGAACACTTTCAAAACTTTTCAACTCCTCATTTTAACTTTTAATGTCACTAAATTGGCGTGTGATGGTGTTTGCAGTGAACTGACCTCCTCCACCCGAGCCTGCCTCTCCCTCTCATACTGCCTCCTCAGTACTGCGTTCTCCTTCTCTTCTGCTTCATTCTTCTTCCTCTCGGCTTCCTTCTTCCTCTGTTCAGCCAGATGAATCAGCTCTTCATTCTTGGCTTTTTGCTGAGAGACGGAGAGGGAAAAAGAGCAAGACAGTGATAGATGAGAGGTAGGAGAGGAAGATGGAGTGAATTTTAACCTCCATTGTTAAACCCTGCCAGTGACTTCGTTTTTTTTGGCTCCTCACCTCAATTTCCTTTCGTTTCTTCCTCTCTTGTTCTTCCTCATACTCCCTCTGGATGAGAGCCCTCTGCTCCGCTAGCCTCTTCTCCTCTTTTTCCTCCTCCAGTCTTATCCGTTCCCTCTCCTCTGCCTTTTTACGCATTTTCTCGTCAATCTGTAAACAAATCCAGGTTAATGAGACGGCATAAACCCATTAACACAACCCCAAACAACCTTTACTTGCAGGCTGGAAGGCACAAAACAAACCTCTTTCTGGTTTGTGCTGGGAAACTCAAATTGACTTGCACTATTGTACAAGCAGTTCGCTACATTTTTACAAAACAGAACGTTTTAAGGAAGGTCAGCAGCCAGCTAAAGGGATACTCAACAAGACAGCCTATAAAACAAAGCCAGTAGAAGTACCACCAGCTGTTTAAAGCGGTACCTGCTGTTTGAGGTAAGCTTTGTACTTGTCCTGCTCCTGGAGGTGCTGTTGGGTGGGCTGGTTGGTAAACACATTGCCTCTGGCAAACTGGGGGGTTTGGACATGGGTGAAACCTACAATAGAAGAAAACATGAAGAAATTCTACATGAGTCAGACCAAAGAACCCTCTTTTCTAAATATACTGAGAAATCTCACTGAGCAGTATCCACATGTGACTATATCAGAAGATATAGCACAAACCTTCACTGCCATGCTGTGGTGCTAGTGTTAACTCTCCTAGTTGTTCTCTTTAAAATCACCGTTAACATTTCCCATTCAAAGCTTCATCCATCAGATCTGTTGCTGTACAAAATTTTCCTCACCAGCTTTCACTAAAATAATCTCATGTGTCTCGTGTTCTTTTTTTCCTGTTTTGTTCTAGTGCAGGCTGCGATGCTAGAAATGTTCCAATTGCAAAACAGTGATAATGACATTGAGAATAAAGACTGTTACGGTACCAGAGAGACTGTCACTACTGTCATGGATACTGCGCTCTGCTACAGTACCAGAGACCCTCTCGTTCGGGTCAGGGAGCTCTGCCCGGCGGGCCGTCATGGCGGCCGTGGCCTTCCTCTGCCACTGCTCCGGGTTGCTGTAGGCCTCCTCATTCAGCTTGTGCATCTGGTTAAGGTCAGCTGGGGAACAGGAACAGTAAGAATCAAAAAGAGCCCTTTGAATAGACACTGTATTATGTTTGAAAAGACACTACACTCATACCAATAAGATTTCCAGTGCTATCTCTGAGTGGGGCTCCGCCTCCACCTCGACCCCAGGGCTGGTGGTTCTTCATGTCAGCCTCCAACTGGGCCTCGTATCGCTCCGTCTCCTCCCTCTCCAGGAGCTTCCGTTCCTGCTGCTCCTGGATCTACATTACAGCGTTTTCTAGGTTACATTAAAATCCTTAAATCCTAATTTTTGGAGTTTCAGGAACCACAATTTCTTATCTAAACCCATATAACAGAGTCCAAAAGCAGGAGGCATATGTGTTGGTATTAGCATGATAATACATTCTCAAGTGTTCTAATATTGAAAGAATTGGTACTTTGTCAGGCTGATGTTGGAGCTACTGTCATTTGATAAGTCAGTGTGGTCAAATAAGCAAAGTACATCTTTCTAACTTTGTGTGACTCCGGTACAAAAGGCAAGCTATGGGGAGAAGTGGAGAGGACGTTTTTGTAACTGCAGTATCATAAAGCAACTAGAGGAGCAAGATGAAGGACGGGGATGGGCTTGAGTTGGCACTAGGGTATAAAGTAACACCTGACTAGGGGAAGATCTCAAACACTTCTACTGCAAACTATCAACAAGTGAATGAGGATATGAGGACGTAACTTAACTTACACTATCTTTGGGTCTTACTATATCATTTTTACCTTGCTGTAAAGCTCGCTGCTCCCTCTCCTGGAAGCTTCCTGCCAACATATCACAGACTAGGATGCAGTGAAAGTTAAACGTTACCTGCAACCACTGGATTGCATACTCCCTGCCAATGTTCCCAACAAAACAACCTGAGCCAAGGTGACTGTTCATACACAGCCACTGATGTGCGATTACCCTATAATAAAGGCTGCAATGTGTTAAATGTATCCAACAGCGTGAATGTGTAAACCTTTACCATCTTTAACAATCACATTCAAAAGCTTAATCTAGAAATGTGCTGTCTACGTTTAAATTAACTTTAAATATAGATAACACTCCTAAGACCAATCAATGATCAATATCTGGTATTTTAAAAAGGTGCTATGCTTTTATGCAGTAATCAGTTTAGGTTAAATCCACATCCAGCCTTTTGTTGTGCTTCTACCTGAAGTCTCGTCTGCCAATCACTGTTTGGATTTAATCTCATTAAAGCACTAATTGGTCATTTCATCCATATACTTTGTAGATTTCCTTTTGTTTGAGAGGAAAATTATATTTCCAATAGAAGCTGATGGCAGCGAGGAAGGCTTATGTTATTCTTGGAAAACAAAAACAAAAGTACTAAGAACAGTAGTAAACCTTTAAACGCAGATTCAAAGTTTACCTACCTGTTGTTTCAGAGCTTCCCTATAGCTCATAATCCTCTCCCTGGCTGATCTGGATCTCTCTGAAGGGAAAACCCTGACTTGTGAGTCCACAGTAGCAGCCTCATTGCTAGGCCTGTCAGAAGAAGACAGTCAATTTTACCAGACAATTCCATTACGGTAACTAGTCAATTCTCATATTTAATTTTGATTCATGTTTAATGAAACATTAAAAGCTTATTCTCAGAACACAAGCTGGTGCCATGTCCATTCTGTTAAGTTGCTCATACACATACACCCCACCCAAAAGAAACAGTTTCATTTATAAATGAGTTGAGTTGCAGGACCATCAAGGAGCCTGTGTGCTGGTAAAGCAGATCAATTTATTTCCGCTCTGCTGCCGCTGCTAATAATTGGCCGTGCTTTCCGAGCCAAAGAGCCAGAAAGTGAAGGAGATATTTACTGTGATGGAGGCTCTGGGAAGCTGCTTCCACTGTGCTGGCTGTGAGGACTGTGGTTACCAAACTGGCTGGGCACAGCTCCCCCCGGTGGTACATTCCAGTAGGACAAGGGAGGGCCAGCACCAAGAACAGGCAAGTGACCATCTAGACAGAAAAATTGAACACAAAATGATGATGCTGCTGAATGTAACACATCTGTATAGCCTTCTATCACTATGTTAACAGAGGAGACACGTGCTTACAGTAGGCCATGTTTGGGTCAAGCAGGTTTCTGGTGCCGTAGTAGTGATGTGGCTCTCCATATGGGCTCCTGTAGGCTTCACTGAGAGTAGGAGGCGGATGAGGATGGAATAAGGGGATTCTGGAGATACAAAGTAGGATATCAAATAATCAATGAAAATGTCCAATTTCAACTTCTTTAAAAAAGGTCCTATTTTTCTGGCTATATCTGAAGATGTAGGTATTCTACATAATGTATTATGATAAAGTAATCTTGAGTTAAAAGTTAATATGATAAAATATAATTTCTGTCAAAACTGCCATTGACCGAGTTTAAAGTAATAATCCTTAAGCAGAGTGTTTCATGAAAATCTTATTTTCCACTCTTAGTTTAGTCCGCCATCTTCCTTCCTTCTCATCTCTGCTGAGAGTTGCATATGCTCAGTACAGCTTGGACACTTGCAAGAAAGACAAAAAGACAAAGTTTGAGCCAATTTAATTAACCTGGAGACAGGAGTGGCGTTAGAGGATGTGGGCAAAACTCCAGCTATATACACAGTTTGAGAGCAAGGCGGATGAAACAAGGTTGTTCTTCAAAGGCACGTCATGTTTCTGAAAAACAAAGCATCTCTTGCGAGGCAGCTAGGAGGATGTTTGTTATTTGATAACGAGGGTTTATGTAGTATTAAAACTGCACATGCTGCTACAACCGTGACGGCAAGTGTCACCAAACCAACAAAGACTGAAATCTTGAGGATTATAACTTAGGTGAGGTTTGAGTTTAAGAGATACCTGGGAGTGTCCATGGCTCTGGGGAAGGAGGGGGCAACAGGCTGGCTGTTGGGGGACAGACCACCTCCCCCGAGGGCAGAGCTGTACTCCAGTAGAGGAGACTGGAAGGCCACATGGGGCTGCTCAGGAGGAGGAATCTCTCGGTCTCTAACACCCATCTTCTCGTTATTAGGTAGACTTCTGGATGATGTTTCACTCTCTCCGGTTGCTGAAGGCTCCAAGACCCGATGGTCTTTTCTCCTGCACAGTCCAAACTGCCTGATTCGGTCCGGCTGGTTTGTGGACAGAGACAAAATTGAAAGATAAATAAATGTACTGCATACGGCATATACTGAAAATCCCTTTAACACCAGTTCCATCATATTTGCTGCATACATTTTCCAGCTTTTGGTGATCAAAAAAAAAAAAACAGTCCCACCCACTGTAACCTTAAGAGATAATCAACAATCTCCTTGAGGATTGGTTGTTGCCGGCTGACCTGTTTCTCAGGATCATTTGCCCCCGTTGCAGCAACTTTCAGCTCCAAATCTTTCTCCCTGCAACAAGGACACATACACAGTTGTTTTACACAGACTAAGCATTTAATGACTCATCCACAGGGTATTCAACAAGTGAGAGGTTCAGGGTTTGCTCAATAACACTTTAAGACACAAGGCCCTAGAAGGACACATTAGGAGTGAGAATGGTGGTTGCACATATCTTATAAGGGGCATTCAGTCTTTGAGAGGCAAGGCTCTCTGAATGTCATCTACCTGCTTGAAAATTATTTACATTGTGCATAACAAGACAAGGAGCACTGACAACGTACCGCTTCTTGTTCCTGTGCTGTTCAGCTATCTGTTCCTGCAGCTCCAGTCTGTAGCGCTCCTTCCTCCTCTGTAAGGAATCTTCTGTATCGGCTGTTCCTGAAAACATAGGACTCCAGTTAAAAAGAGCAGTGTATTTTGAGTATTCTGAAGTAGTTTGGTAATCCATCATTGCAGAAAAGTCAACGGTCATCAATCTTTGATAAAAAACTGTCTAGTTGCAAAATGCAAAACATCCTTTAACCTATTATGAGGCCAGTTGCAAACTCAGCATCCTCATTTTTGGTCAGTGCTCTTCTTCTGCCTTCCCGGGCAACACCTACTAGATTCTCCCTATTCTCCCTGGATAACATACAAATGATAGATTAGGACAAACAAGTATGCAATTTCATAACATGCTTTTAATATACACACAAACACAAACAATGGAAAATGTCCTCTCACCTGCCATCAGTCCTATTGGATCGTCTCTTCTCATAAGTGGCTTCAACCCCAGTATGTCTGTGCCTTCTGCCTTCCATCAGCTCCAGCTCCTTGAAGTATTCCTCCTCTTCCTCTGACTCCTGGTCCACTGGCCTCCCCAGCCTGTCACGATGCCTGGGAAGTACCGACGACTGCTCCTCGTCCTCAGGGTACAGGGTCCTGACTTCAGCGAGGCGCAGAGGCCTGTGCAGCGCCCGACTGTCCTCTGTTAGAGTGGCTGCATCCCTGTGTGAGGCGGGTCGCTGTTTGGGAAGAAAATCTGCCTGGTCTTCAAGCAGGTGCTGGTCAAGGAAACGTGATGGTGAAAGAAAATGTTTATAAAAAGTTATTAATTATCATGTTCAGGCAAAGACATAATCATTAAGTCATTAAAGAGAGACATTTACCTTAACAGACCTCCTGTTGTCAAGGTGAATTAATGCTCCAGGCTCTGCAAAGTGTTTTTTCTGTAACATAAAACATCACTTTCATCATTCCAAGATTGTGTTTTAGTCCTACACACAAACCAGTGTTAATCTGAGGACCAAACTAAAGCTGAAAGAAGCTAATATCTGGGCCCCAACCCAAAGAATCGATCCTCAAATGTTCCCACATGTATATTATTAGTGTAAACAATGCCCAATTTTACAGAGCAATTTGTGATATTGAGTACACTTAATGGCAACTATGGTATACATAACATTTTGTGATTAACATAAAGAACAAGTGGAGTTCCAAAACCGATTCCCGCTTGTAGTCAATGCCTGGTAAACACAACTTGGTCATGTGATATTTCCAGACTGTACACGTTGCTTGGGATACGGAGAGCTGCAGAGGATACACCACCTGTGTCCTAAAATAATGACAAAGGGCCTTTGAAATGAGACCAGCACTGTTGGTCTAATACAACATGTTCAGTCTAGAAATGCGTCTCCAGCCCCAGATCACAGCTTGTGTGTGTCGTTTTAGTAATGGACTACAAACGCCACACATCTCTAACAGTCAGTGGATCTCTGGAGAAGTGGTGTCTACCTTAGCCTTAGTAAAACCACAACAATGCCTGAACTGACCTTCACACTTCGTCTCCTACAGCCAAACACATGAGTAAACAGCCAAGTGTGCGACAGTCACCTGAGCCATGTAGCGCCTGTAGTCCATGCGGAGCTCATGCTGCAGCCTCTGTTTCTTCCTCTCATACTCTACACCAAGAGGTAGACCCACGCTGCAACTCTCCTCTGTCAAAACACGGCCATCAATTTTTAATAGGAGACACAAGGTGAAGAGTTTCATGCCAAAACAAGTCAAGTTCCAACTTTAAAGAAAGAACATCTACCCCCCTGACACACGTTGCTCAGATTACAAACAGACTTATCATATCACATAAAAGAAATCTGTTAGAAAAGGAAGGAAATGTGGTAGTGTACCTTTCCCGTGTGTTACAGACTTGGGAGGGATGTTCTCCTTAACAGTCGATCCATAGGCTCTGTAGGGCTTTGCCTGTCAAAAACAGAGTAATGTTCTGCATTACAATCACACACACACACACATCTTGGTTCAGAGTCAGTTCTGGGACAAAACAGATTTTCTTATTTGTGTGTAAATTGCTGAGTGGCATCGACGCATGTTTTATTTAACCCGCCGCCCCCCTAGTTGCGTCCATGACTTATAAAAATGATATGAAGATGAATTAAGGCATCACTTTATTTGTGTCTGGGGACATAAGGTGGCCGGGACCTGTTTAAAACCGGCTTTTGAAGAATTTGGAGTAGTGTGGTTTTTTTGTTTCTGGCGCGTGCGCTGCCC